TAAATGATGAGCAGAAAAATAACAAAATGCACTCAGCTGCCTCTTTTTTAAAAATTTACTGCCTCACTTGATCTGGTAGCCAGTGTTATCTGACTTTACATAGGTTTTGCTACTAGGTCAGACTGTTATCTCTGTGATAACTTTGATCTTCTGTTTGGCTCTTTCGGCGTGTTCCCTGTTCAGGAAAGGTTAAGACAGATACAGCTGTTAATTCTGCTCATAGCAGTTCAACAGAAACAAGAAGGCTGCCCTGTATTTGTGGGTGAAACATCAAAAAGAACAATATTGCAGCAAACATTACACATGTTTTTTTACTTTTTTAAAAATTGCAGATTCTCCATAAACTATTGAGTACTTTTAAGTAGAACGAGTATGCAGGGAACCAAAGGACACAGGTGGGCGAAGTCAACCACAATGAAGAATGAGGCTTAGGGCTTGGAATCTCTAAGAGGGGAAATAAAGGAACACAGAGACAAGACAAAGGAAGACAGAACAGTTTCTAAAAAAGCAACAAAGGAACAAAAGCTCAGTAAATACTAAAAAAAAACATGGATCCCTGAACCCTCGCCCTGTCGGTGTGGCTGGTGATCATGCCATTTTTTTCAGCAGGATTTAAGAAGAGAGCGACTGTGGGATTTTTCAATCAATGCATCGGGACGATATCTTTAACAGTACAGGGGCTCAGATTTGGTTGAACGTTTGCTCGTCACATGGTCACCAGTGATTTCATCATTTACACATTGTGTTTCTATCTTTGCGCTCATTCTTCTCCGTAACAAAATCCTCTAGTTCTCCACCTTTTTCCCATATCTGAAATTTTTGTCCTCACTGTCATGCAAACCAAATACTCACAGGGCCCAACCTCTGATTGGTAAGTAAACTTCTTTAAAAGTGTTTCCACATGCTGCCAAAATACTGTGGCATTAATTTAATTACAAAGCACAGAGTTTGTTTTATTGGTTACAAAGATAATTAATTACACTTTGTCAGAATACAGAAGTTTCCGGTTTGGTTTCTTTGCTGTTTCACTAAAAATATATATCAGATAAATATTAAACTTAATAAATAATGATAAAATTATTATTTAAATTGATAAATAAATAAAGGCATTTGTTTTTATTCATGTTAAGTGCCTTGTAACTCGTTAAAATAAAAGATTACATAACTTTTAGTGTTGCTGTTTTTATTTACTGATTTTTAGAGGTCAAAATAGAAGAAAATAAGACAAGCAAAACTGTTAAATTAATAAATTAAATAAATGCATAAAAACAATTTATTGTGTAATAAATGCACTACTGACTATTATCTTTTTACTTCACGTTAAGGTAATATCAACATGAAGTAATAAATTTTATAGTTTATTTGGCTGTTAAAAATAAATCAAACAACTACACACTATGTGCTTGGATTGCAATATTCCTTTATGTAAAATACATAAATGTGACTGTACAGTGCTTTACAAATGTATTATTGTAAGGTTTATGCTGCAGTATTAAACATACTCATAATTACCTAAATATATTATACTTCTATATTTGTTTATCCACCACTATGTGCAACAAATTTAATCAAAATTATATATTTTTAATGCTAAAATATAATAATTTTGTTATCCATTATTTTTCACATTTACTATTTTAGAAAACAGCTGAAAAAAACAGTAAAGCGTGTTTTTATTTTTCGATTAAGATGCCAAATGACAGTTATTTAGTGCGATTCTTGAACAGAAAAAATAGTTTTAGTGGTTGAATGACATATTTGATTAATTTCTGACTTCTTACAAATAAAAAATATAAAATAAAAATATAAGGTTTTTTTGGTCTAAATATTTGTAAAGCAATATATTTGTATATTAGTGCAGATGTCTTCATGACTTTTCTGATTTTTTTTTTGCATGTTATATGTTTAATGTATCACATTTTCTACATATATATTCAATAAGAAGAAGGCTACATGTAAGTTCCCACATCTGCAGACAATAAAGCTATTAATTTGCTCTGTTCTGTGTCAAACTTGCGAACTGGAAAGTTTCCCATCTTATATCAGTCCTAGAAATGAACACAGTGGCAATTAAAGAAGACTTTGAAACAGATCCAATGAACAGTGATATCAAAAAAACGACCTTTAACCTCATCACTGTTGTGCTGTCAGCTGGCACTGGCTGAAAAGGTCACGGTAAAAGAAAAAGAAAATCATGTTTCTCTGATCATGTGATGGTGCTCGAGGCAGAGTGGCTGAAAGAATCACACTTTAGTTAACAAACTCAAACACAAGTTCAGCAGAAGATCAGAGAGGAAGTCGTGAGGTAATTAAAGTGTTTACTATTTCTGACCTGTGTCTGCACGTCTCCTTTCTGTGTGCGACGTGGAGCCAAAACGACACGCTCAGCAATAAAGTTACAACAACGCAGTTTGAGTCGGGAACTTCGGCCACAGGTCAGAATTCCTCTTGACATCTATGTGATTACATCAACAGCCCCCAAACTGTATAAATACTTGGAGACGAGCTCAGTCGTTCTCACAGACGTCACAGATCAGATCGCTGAGGTAAGATTACCGATCTGAAATCTTTAAAAGTCGAATTTCTTTTTGTAGTCCAAAATATTTGACTACTTATTAGATTCATTAATCAAATCAAATGAGAGTTAGATGATTTAGACAACAAAATGTTATGTATTTGTCAATAAAGGGTCTCTTGAATACATTTTTTTT